GAGCACCAAGTCTAGGTCCAAAAGGCTTCTTAACAGCTTCTACCCCCAAGCCATAAGACTCCTGAACAGCTAATCATGGCTACCCGAACTATTTGCTTTGTCCTCCCCCACCCCATCCCCTCTTTTACGCTGCTGCTTCTCTGTTTGTTTATGCATAGTCACTTTACCCACATACATATTACCTCAATTACCTTGACTAACCGGTGCCCCCGCACATTGACTCTGTACCAGTACCCCCTGTATATAGCCTCCCTACTGTTATTTGATTTTACTGCTGCTCTTTAATTATTTATATTTTTTATTTTTTACTTAACACTTTTTTTCTTAACTGCATTGTTGGCTAAGGGCTTGTAAGTAAGCATTTCACTGTAAGGTCTACACCTGTTGTATTTGGCGCATGTGGCAAATAAAATGTGATTTGATTTTACTTCATGCTTCTTGGTGGAAAAGTAATACTAGCCAAAGCCCTTCAACGTTACTGCAACATACACTATATATACAAAACTATGTGGACACCCCTTCAAATTAGTGAATTTGGCTATTTCAGCCACATCCGTTGCTGACAAGGTGTATAAAATCGAGCACACAGCCATGCAATCTCCATAGACAAACATTGGCAGTAGAATGGACTTGCTGAACACCTCAGTGACTTTCAACGCGGCACCGTCATAGGATGCCACCTTTCCAACAAGTCTGTTTGTTAATTTTCTGCCCTGCTAGAGCTGCCCTGGTCAACTGTAAGTGCTGTTATTGTGAAGTGGAAACGTCTAGGAGCAACCATGGCTCAGCCGCGAATTGGTAGGCCACAGAAGATCGCAGTGCTGAAAAACGTAGCACGTAAAAATCGTCTGTCCTCGGTTGCAACACTCACTACTAAGTTCCAAACTGCCTCTGAAAGAAACGTCAGCACAATAACTGTTCGTCGGGAGCTTCCTGAAATGGGTTTCCATGGCCGAGCAACCGCACACAAGCCTAAGATCACCATACACAATGCCAAGCATCGGCTGGCGTGGTGTAAAGCTTGCCGCCATTGGACTCTGGAGCAGCGGAAATGCGTTCTCTGGAATGATGAATCACGCTTCACCATCTGGCAGTCCGACGGACAAATCTGGGTTTGGCGGATGCCAGGAGAACGCTACCTGCCCGAATGCATAGTGCCAACTGTAAAGTTTGGTGGTGGAGGAATAATGGTCTAGGTCTGTTTTTCATTGTTTGGGCTAGGCCCTTTAGTTCCAGTGAAGGGAAATCTTAACGCTACAGCATACAATGACATTCTAGACAATTCTGTGCTTTCTACTTTTCCTGTTTCAGCATGACAATGCCCCCCGTGCACAAAGCGAGGTACATACAGAAATGGTTTGTTTAAGATCGGTGTGGAAGAACTTGACTGGCCTGCACAGAGCCCTGACCTCAACCCCATCGAACACCTTTGGGATGAATTGGAACGCCGACTGCGAGCCAGGCCTAATCGCCCGACCTCTCTAATGATCTTGAAGCTGAATTGAAGCGAGTCCCCGCAGCAATGTTCCAACATCTATTGGAAAGCCTTCCCAGAAGAGTGGAGGCTGTTATAGCAGCAAAGGGGGGACCAACTCCATATTAATGCCCATGATTTTGGAATGAGATGTTCGACGAGCAGGTGTCCACATACTTTTGGTCATGTAATGTAGGTATAGGGTCAAATAAATTGTCCGTAGAGCTCCAAGACAGGATTGTGTCGAGGCACAGATCTGGGGAAGGGTACCAAAACATTTCTGCAGAATTGAAGGTCCCCAATAACACAGTGGCCTCCATCATTCTTAAATGGAAGAAGTTTGGAACCACCAAGACCCTTCCTAGAGCTGGCTGCCCGGCCAAACTGAGCAATCAGAGGAGAAGGGCCTTGGTTAAGGAGGTGACCAAGAACCCGATGGTCACTCTGACAGTCCTCCAGAGTTCCTCTGTGGAGATGGGAGAATCTTCCAGAAGGACAACCATCCCTGCAGCACTCCACAAATCAGGCCTTTATGGTAGTGGCCAGACAGAAGCAACTCCTCAGTAAAAGGCACATGACAGCCCGCTTGGAGTTTGCCAAAAGACACCTAAAGGACTCAGACCATGAGAAACAAGATTTCTCTCTTCTGATTAAACCAAGATTGAAGTCTTTGGCCTGAATGACAAGTGTCACGTCCGGAGGAAACCTGGCACCATCCCTAACGGTGAAGCATGGTCGTGGCAGCATCATGCTGTAGGGATGGTTTTCAGTGGCAGGGACTGGGAGACTAGTCAGGATCGAGGGAAAGATGAACGGAGTACTGCCAGGTCACTGACGACCTCCCTGTCTCATCGTCGCCGGTGATCAGGCCTACCACCATCGTGTCATCAGCAAACTTGATGATGGTGTTGGAGCATTCGTGGGTGAACATGGAGTACAGGAGGGGACTAAGCTTACACCTCTGTAGGTTAAGCGTGGCGGAGGTGATGTTGCCTACCCTCACCACCTGGGATCAGCCGTCAGGAAGTCCAGGATCCAGTTGCGGAGAGTTGTTCAGTCCCAGGGTCCTAAACTTGGTGAAGAGCTTGGAACGGACAATGGTGTTGAACGCTGAGCTGAACATTATTCTCACATAGGTATTCCTCTTTTCTAGGTGGGTGAGGGCAGTGTGGAGTGCAATTGACATTGTCGTCTATGTGCAGAATCCATAGAGTTGGATAGCCATTGAGGGGTATCTTGTCTGAAAGCTATGTTTCAGAAAAGCAGAGAATATTGCAGTTACGAGAGTCCCATTTGTAGCAAATCCGCAATCGGAGGTAATCCATTTTATAGAAAGGAGGGAAGAGGTGGCCGGTTTTCCCTTTGCCTTAATCTCGCCAGGACTCCCCCTCTCTTGCCTCTGTAATGCCGGCATTTCTTTTTGGATACCCCGAAAATTGGGTCTGAATTACAGAAAGAGCCCAGGGCAGATGAGTCGAAGTTGAAGCCGGAATTGAGGTATCTGCTGATCTGATGTTCAAAAGTTCTTGTCAGTTTTAAGAAATGATAGCGGATACATTTCATGTAAATAAATTTAAAAATAAACGCCAAAAGAATCACAAAATAGCAAAGTTGGGTCAGAGCTCGCAAAACAGCGTCCCAATCAATTTGCTGCCTGTTCTTAGTAAACTGATGGAGAGAATTGTGTTTGACCAAATACTATGCTGTTTTCAGAGAACAAGTTAACTACTGACTTTCAGCATACATATAGAGAAGAGCACTCAACTTGTACTGCACTGACTCCGATGACAGATGATTGGTTAAAATAAATGGGTAATAAAATAGTTGAAGCTGAATTGTTAGATTTCTTCTAGATCTCTTCTAGTTTTTATGAGAAATTTTACTGCAACCTCCCGAGTGGCGCAGTGGTCTAAGGCACTGCATCGCAGTGCTAACTGTGCCACTAGAGATCCTGGTTCGAATCCAGGCTCTGTCGTAGCCGGCCACGACCGGGAGACCCATGGGGCGGCGCACAATTGGCCCAGTGTCGTCCAGGGTAGGGGAGGGAATGGCCGGCAGGGTTGTGGGTTCGATTCCCATGGGGGGCCAGTATGAAAAAAATAAAAAATATAATAATGTATGCACTCACTAACTGTAAGTCGCTCTGGATAAGAGCGTCTGCTAAATGACTTAAATGTAAAATGTGATGAAGATTCCAGATTGTCTGCATAATCAAATGATATTCAGCTCAGACACCCATACATACCCCACAAGACATGCCACTAGGGGTCTCTTCACAGTCCCCAAGTCTGGAACTCCCTTCCAACTCAAGCAAACAGCCAAATTACCTTTAAAAAAAAAAAAAGATTTGAATAACATCTCATGGAACGGCGGAGACTGTGAGGGGACAAACACACACACAGACACACTCTAACACACAATTTTAGATGTATTACCCCAGGAAGTGTAGCTGCTGCTTCTACAAAAGCTAATGGGGATCCAAATAACAAACAGTGTAGGCTTGACTGAGCCATCATGAATAATAGATTAGATACTTTGTGTATAGCTTCAGAAAAACATGCAAGCAATGAGGCCATGAACAGACTGGTTTTCTTCACCATCTCTATTGTCTGAAATCCCCACCCTCAGTGAGTTTCCTCATACCACTGGTAATCCAATATTAGCTCTTCACATACTGGTTTGCCCATACAATACCCCCAGGAATGGATTACAGGCGGCTGGTCGCACCATAATTGGGGAGGACGGACTCATAGTAATTCTAGAACGGAATAAATGGAATGGTAAATAACTCATTCAACATATGGTTTCCATGCGTTTGATACCATTCCATTCACTCTGTTCCAGCCATTATTATGAGCTGTCCTTCCCTCAACAGCCTCTTGTGGAACGCACTCGCACTCACTCACACAAACGCTCTCTTAATTCAAATATTGTGGCGATTGTTAGACATCAGTCCTTGTTTGAATGCATTTGAATACTTTGAGCTCATCCTTGTTGTTCAGAGATGTTTTTCTCCCTCTCAGACTACATGTAATACACAGTTTAATACACATTTATTACTATGTCTTTCTCTAAACTACAATGAGAGAATGCAAAGTGAAATCGTTTTTACATCTGAATATACAAATCCACTGGCATCAACTAAAGATAGATGCTGAATAAACATTCAGCCCTACTCTCTGCTTATATTGTGTGTGTATATACTATGTTAGTCCTGAGGATGACAAATTAGGAAAACTGAATGATAAATTAGAGATAAGAACAGGACACAAACATAAATTGTAGTTGGCAAAGGTTAAAAAACAATTGTGTTCCGTTTAACATCATTACTAAAAATATATATATATATTTTAACTAAATATCACAATAAAAAACATCATTACTCTGCAGTCCGTCATGGTTTCCTGCCCATTCAGTGTTAACTGATATGCTGCCTGGCATTTTGCTAATTGGAGGCCTCTTGAAGATGCACATGAGTTCTCATTCATCCATCTAGGTCTCTAACCTGCTGTGGTAGGCTGGCAGGATGTCCCTCTCTGTCTTGGACTCACGACAGTCCTTTTTTTGTTCCTCAGTTTCCTTCGAGCAGATTGGAATCCTGCACAAAAGATTCAAGCAGTTGAGCCACAATGAAGACACGCTGAGGTAGGACTCCCTAATAATTTTTGGCATTCATAAACTCTGTAAATGCCCACCCTAACACACACACTTTATTTTTTACTTGTGCTCTTACTTTGGGGACACACATGGGTGTAATCCTGGCATAATGAATTTCTGGTGAAGTGGTTCTTCCCATTTCTTTTTAATTCCCACGGGGGGCCAGTATGAAAAATGTATGCACTCACTAATTGTAAGTCGCTCTGGATAAGAGTTTCTGCGATATACCTAAAATGTCAAAAAAATTAACTAGCCTAACAGGTTTTGGTTTGGCTTTTGTTTAGCAACGTGTTATAATTGACCAGCTTCCTGGTGCACACCTTTTAATTATCTCCTTGTCTTTTCACTTGTAGGAGAGCTGACATCGACACAATTCCAGATCTGGCATGCAATCCAATCCGCACCCAAATTATAGAGGCCTTCTTTGACAAAAGGTAGGTTATCGTGTTCCTGTTAAGTACAAGACTAAGGGCTAAATTTTAACAAAGCCAACGCAAAGTAAATCTTTGCGCACTCGCAGTTGAGTGGTGGGTGTGTCAGAAATATTTGAGCTATTTTGACAGCGGGAATAATGGGCGTAACACCTGGCGTAAAGAGGCAGGCTTTCTCTGAATTAATATAAGTTGTCGGTGTGACAAGGGCTTGACCACTCACTGGCCAATGAAAACTTGCTCCGAAGCTTTTTATGTGGTTGCTTCAAGTTGTAATAAGATTAGTCTACCTTCACCATTGATATGGCAAAGAAGAATTGTAAAGGCAATAGTTGATTCTGCACCACGGACAGCGATAGGAATTCCAGCAATTTGACATTCAGGTCCAACAGATGGCAGTGGAAGATGCATTTTCTTTGTACAAAAATAATAAATGAAAAACAATAAGCAGACTTTTTAACAAAATAGCCATATTTCATTCAATGGGCATCGTGCATAATGAGTCCAAAGTTTCACAGGAGCTGGATATAAATAATATCCGTAGCCTATAATGAGACTTTAGGGTTTTAAGACACATTTTGGGGGTTTTTAGACACAAATGCAGGGCTCAACATTAAAGCTTGTCCAGTAAATAAAAATGTTCGACAAGAAGAATGTAGATTTTTAAGTTGTCTGAATGGACGAGTAAAAAAAAAGAAGAAAAGGGTATTGACTGTTTTGCTGCTCCCAAAAGTGCTATTTTAATATAACATTGGTGATAAGCTATTCTACTGATTAGGCTACGCTGTGCTTCCGCTGGCAAAATCCATGCCATAACCAACTGCCTTACCACTAAGACCAGCTTTTGGTTGGTCTTAAATATCCCCACTTGCGCTGCCTGAAATTGGCACTTTGGCGCACGTTTTTAAGGACATACCTCCGATATTTCCACCCCTCACACCTCAGCGCGAGCATGGTGATATAAGACACGTCAATTACCAATCCTGGCACAAGGGTTGGAAAATACCAGCGCGCCGGCTTTAACAAATCGAAATTGCTAGCGAGCGTGTGTTTGACAATTGGGCTGGCTTAACACCAGTCGAAAATAGAACCGTGAAAGTTAACTGCTCTCAAGATTCCCCTAGCTATAACCTACCTACAGTGAGGGAAAAAAGTATTTGATCCCCTGCTGATTTTGTACGTTTGCCCACTGACAAAGAAATGATCAGTCTATCATTTTAATGGTAGGTTTATTTGAACAGTGAGAGACAGAATAACAACAAAAAAATCCAGAAAAACACATGTAAATTTTTTTATAAATTTATTTGCATTTTAATGAGGGAAATAAGTATTTGACCCCTCTGCAAAACATGACTTAGTACTTGGTGGCAAAACCCTTGTTGGCAATCACAGAGGTCAGACGTTTCTTGTAGTTGGCCACCAGGTTGGATTTTGTCCCACTCCTCTTTGCAGATATTCTCCAAGTCATTAAGGTTTCGAGGCTGACGTTTGGCAACTCGAACCTTCAGCTCCCTCCACAGATTTTCTATGGGATTAAGGTCTGGAGACTGGCTAGGCCACTCCAGGACCTTAATGTGCTTCTTCTTGAGCCACTCCTTTGTTGCCTTGGCCGTGTGTTTTGGGTCATTGTCATGCTGGAATTCCCATCCACGACCCATTTTCAATGCCCTGGCTGAGAGAAGGAGGTTCTCATGACGGTGGGGATGGTGTTCTTGGGGTCATAGGCAGCATTCCTCCTACTCCAAACACGGTGAGTTGAGTTGATGCCAAAGAGCTCGATTTTGGTCTCATCTGACCACAACACTTTCACCCAGTTCTCCTCTGAATCATTCAGATGTTCATTGGCAAACTTCAGACGAGCCTGTATATGTGCTTTCTTGAGCAGGGGGACCTTGCGGGCGTTGCAGGATTGTGTGTTACCAATTGTTTTCTTGGTGACTATGGTCCCAGCTGCCTTGAGATCATTTACAAGATCCTCCCGTGTAGTTCTGGGCTGATTCCTCACCGTTCTCATGATCATTGCAACTCCACGAGGTGAGATCTTGCATGGAGCCCCAGGCCGAGGGAGATTGACAGTTCTTTTGTTTCTTCCATTTGCGAATAATGGCACCAACTGTTGTCACCTTCTCACCAAGCTGCTTGGCGATGGTCTTGTAGCCCATTCCAGCCTTGTGTAGGTCTACAATCTTGGCCCTGACACCCTTGGATAGCTCTTTGGTCTTAGCCATGGTGGAGAGTTTGGAATCTGATTGATTGATTGCTTCTGTGGACAGGTGTCTTTTATACAGGTAACAAGGTGAGATTAGGAGCACTCCCTTTAAGAGTGTGCTCCTAATCTCAGCTCGTTACCTGTATAAAAGACACCTGGGAGCCAGAAATCTTTCTGATTGAGAGGGGGTCAAATACTTATTTCCCTCATTAAAATTCAAATCAATTTATAACATTTTTGACATGCGTTTGTCTGGATTTTTTTGTTGTTATTCTGTCTCTCACTGTTCAAATAAACCTACCATTAAAATTATAGACTGATCATTTCTTTGTCAGTATGAATTTCATTATTAAGTAGGTTTGGTGGTGCCTCACAGACATTAGTCAAATGTCAGCCTCATCTAGAAACAACCCCTTGTCGTTAGCCCCTACCCCTAGTCGTTAGCCCTAACCTCTAGACGTTAGCCCCTAGCTGTTAGCCCCTACCCCTATTCGTTATCCCCTACCTGATAGCCCCTAGCCGTTAGCCCCTAACCCCTAGCTGTTAGACCCTAGCTGTTAGCCCCTACCCCCTAGCTGTTAGCCCCTACCCCCTAGCTGTTAGCCCCTACCCCCTAGATGTTAGCCCCTACCCCCTAGATGTTAGCCCCTACCCCCTAGATGTTAGCCCCTACCCCCTAGATGTTAGCCCCTACCCCTAGATGTTAGCCCCTACCCCCTAGATGTTAGCCCCTACCCCCTAGATGTTAGCCCCTACCCCCTAGATGTTAGCCCCTACCCCCTAGATGTTAGCCCCTACCCCCTAGATGTTAGCCCCTACCCCCTAGATGTTAGCCCCTACCCCCTAGATGTTAGCCCCTACCCCCTAGATGTTAGCCCCTACCCCCTAGATGTTAGCCCCTACCCCCTAGATGTTAGCCCCTACCCCCTAGATGTTAGCCCCTACCCCCTAGATGTTAGCCCCTACCCCCTAGCTGTTAGCCCCTACCCCCTAGATGTTAGCCCCTACCCCCTAGATGTTAGCCCCTACCCCCTAGATGTTAGCCCCTACCCCCTAGCACTTGTGTAGACCGGAAAGGATTGAATTTTACGTTTCTTTCCAAAACTGTATATAACCATTTTCAGAAATCTTGGTAAATTAGCTTTTATTGTTTAAATAATTCATGAAAAAGATTGGTGTGTTTTTTCACTATCTAATCATGGCATAGGGTTGCTCATTGACAGGCATGTATTTGTTTTGAATCTATCACTTGATGGTTTCATTTCAGAGAGACAAATAATCATGTTGTTTCTGCAAAACGCTATACACTCAGTATACAAAACATTAACAACACCTGCTCTTTCCATGACATAGATTGACCAGGTGAAAGCTAGGATCCCTTATTGATGTTACTTGCTAAATCCACTTCAATCAGTTTAGATGAAGGGGAGGAGACAGGTTAAAAATATATATTTTTAAGCCTTGAGACAATTGATACATGGATTGTGTATCTGTGCCATTCAGAGGGTGAATGGGAAAGACAAAACATGTAAGTGCCTTTGAACTGGGTATGGTAGTAGTACTGGTTTGTATCAAAAACTGCAACGTTGCTGGGTTTTGGTCCACCACCCAAAATACATCAAGCCAACTTGACACAGCTGTGGGAAGCATTGGAGTCAACATGGGCCAGCATCCCTGTGGAATGCTTTGCGGGGGGGGGCAGTTCAATGTTAGGAAAATCTTGTTCCAAAATCATGAGCATTAATATGGAGTTGGTCCCCCCCCTTTTCTGCTATAACAGCCTCCAGTCTTCTGGGAAGGCTTTCCACTAGATGTTGGAACATTGCTGCGGGGACTTGCTTCCATTCAGCCACGAGCATTAGTGAGGTCGGGCATTGATGTTGGGCGATAAAGCCTGGCTCACAGTCGGTATTCCAATTAATCTAAAAAGTGTTAGATGTGGATGAGGTCAGGGCTCTGTGCAGGCCAGTCAAGTTCTTCCACACCAATCTCGACAAACCATTTCTGTATGGACCTCGCTTTGTGCACGGGGGTCATTGTCATGCTGAAACAGGAAAGGGCCTTCCCCAAACTGTTGCCACAAAGTTGGAAGCACAGAATCGTCTAGAATGTCATTGTATGCTGTAGCGTTTTTATTTTCCTTTACTGGAACTAAGGGGCCTAGCCCGAACCATGAAAAACAGCCCCAGACCATTATGCCTCCTCCACCAAACTTTACAGTTGGCACTATGCATTCGGGGAGGTAGCGCTCTCCTGGCATCCGCCAAACCCAGATTCGTCCGTCGGACTGCCAGATGGTGAAGTGTGATTAATCACTCCAGAGAATGCATTTCCACTGCTCCAGAATCCGAGCTTTACACCACTCCAGCCGACGCTTGGCATTGCGCATGGTGATCTTAGGCTTGTGTGTGGCTGCTCGGCCATGGAAACCCATTTCAGGAAGCTCCCGACGAACAGTTCTTGTGTTGACATTGCTTCCAGGGGCAGTTTAGAACTCTGTAGTGAGCGTTGCAACCGAGGACAGACAATTTTTACGCGCTGCACGCTTCAGCACTCGGCGGTCCCGTTCTGTGATCTTGTGTGGCCTAACACTTTGTGGCTGAGCTGTTGTTGCTCCTAGACGTTTCCACTTCACAATAACAGCTCTCACAGTTGACCGGGGCAGCTCTAGCAGGGCAGAAATTTGACGAACTGGAAAGGAGGCATCCTATGACGGTGCCACGTTGAAAGTCACTGAGCTCTTCAGTAAGGCCATTAACTGCCAATGTTTGGCTATGGAGATTACATGGCTGTGTGCTCGATTTTACAAACCTGTCAGCAACGGGTGTGACTGAAATAGCCGAATCCACTAATTTGAAGGGGTGTCCACATACTTTTGTATATAGTGTATATCTGCCGCACTCTGAGAAATAAATAGTACTGCTAGGTTTTACACAGTCGAATGTAACAATAACTACATTTTAAATAAAGAACTGTACAAATGATAGATTTGTGACATCAATATAAAAAAAAATAAAAAATACAGTAATATGAGAACTGTATGTAAAACCTTTACATTTGACATTTTAGTCATTTAGCAGATGCTCTTATCGAGAGGGACTTAGTTAGTTAGTGCATTCATCTTAAGATAACTAGGTGAGACAACCACATATCACAGTCAAATATACAGTATACGAACATTCCATTCCAGCTAAACAATCGATATACACTACCGGTCAAAGGTTTTAGAACAACTACTCATTCAAGGGTTTTTCTTTATTTTTACTATTTTCTACATTGTAGAATAATAGTGAAGACATCAAAACTATTAAATAACACATATGGAATCATGTAGTATCCAAAAAAGTGTTAAACAAATCAAAATATATTTTATATTTGAGATTCTTCAAATAGCCACCCTTTGCCTTGATGACAGCTTTGCACACTCTTGGCATTCTCTCAACCAGCTTCACCTGGAATGCTTGTCCAACAGTCTTGAAGGAGTTCCCACATATGCTGAGCACTTTGTTGGCTGCTTTTCCTTCATTCTGCGGTCCGACTCATCCCAAACCATCTCAATTGGGTTGTGGTCGGGGGATTGTGGAGGCTAGGTCATCTGATGCAGCACTCCATCACTCTCCTTCTTGGTAAAATAGCCCTTACACAGCCTGGAGGTGTGTTGGGTCATTGTCCTGTTGAAAAACAAATGATAGTCCCACTAAGCCCAAACCAGATGGGATGGCGTATCGCTGCAGAATGCTGTGGTAGCCATGCTGGTTAAGTGTGCCTTGAATTCTAAATAATTCACAGACAGTGTCACCAGCAAAGCACCCCCACCCCATAACACCACCTCCTCCATGCTTTACGGTGGGAAATACACATGCGGAGATCATCCGTTCACCACTTGATGCGACTGCACTTGAAGAAACTTTCAAAGTTCTTGGAATTTTCCGTGTTGACTGACCTTCATGTCTTAAAGTAATGATGGACTGTCATTTCTCTTTGCTTATTTGAGCTGTTCTTGCCATAATATGGACTTTGTATTTTACCAAATAGGGCTATCTTCTGTATACCCCCTACCTTGTCACAACACAACTGATTGGCTCATACGCATTAAGAAGGAAAGAAATTCCACAAATTAACTTTTAACAAGGCACACGTGTTATGCATTCCAAGTGACTACCTCATGAAGCTGATTGAGAGAATGCCAAGAGTGTGCAAAGCTGTCATCAAGGCAAAGGGTGGCTATTTGAAGAATCTCAAATATAAATATAATATTTGTTTAACACTTTTTTGGTTACTACATGATTCCAAATGTGTACAATGTAGAAAATAGTAAAAATAAAGAAAAACCCTTGAATGAGCAGGTGTTCTAAAACTTTTGACCGGTAGTGTATAGCATTTTGAAAAAAATAACATTTTAATGCATACCTAAATCTATGAATTAAAATCTGAGAACAGTTATATTTCTCACACACACATGAATGTAGCCATAAGCAATCATTTCTAGTGAAAAAACACGTGAAAAATTGAATGTAGTGTTTTGGAAATAAACTCTTCATACGCTATCAATAGACGAGGTGGAGCTACTACCATATTGCATACAGTATCCATTTCAGTATCCATGACGTGCCTAGGACGTAGGCCTATGCGTTGTGTCTAGAATGAGCAATGGTTGGTTACTTTCTAATGAGCAAAACAGAAAATCTGCAGTGACCTCATCTGTCCACATGATGGAGATATTTATGTTCCTTGCTCTTATATCTCTATAGAAACTTCCATCAGAATGGTGACGGGACAGTCCAAGAGATCGGCTTTGAGGAGTTCCTTGTGGTCATGTCCCACTTCAGACCACCAGCACTGAACATGACAGAGGAACAGAGAGAGAACATCAGAAGGGAGAAACTCCGCTGTGAGTGCCGTTATTAAAATGTTACTGTGTGGCTTGTGTTAAGATAGATGTATTGCATTACAGTATAGTATCACTGCCAAATGTAACAATGTGCTGTAATGGATACCCAACATTAATAATATACAAATTATTTATTGTGTGTCCCTTTCGGGAAATTTGTCTTGCATCTCAACAAACAACAGCACAGCATCATCAATAGGTGCATAAATACATATGTAAATCACAAGCAATAGCTACAGCTGACAACACATGTGGATACAGTTCCTTATTAGCTTGTGTACTTTCTACAATGACATTCAGAACACTGTATACTGTTTGATGTGTACTATGGCTCACACTGTGACTGGAATCCATACATTAATCAATTATCTGTAAACTTTCTGCTGGGATAGCAGGTACGCATACAACAGGTCTATATCCCATATACATAATTAGTCTGCAAATGCATTACAGTGATGCCTCATGACACATGCAGACCTTTGGTAAGCAAATATTTGTAAAGACAGACAGAAAAGAGTTCAAGTTGAACATTTTCTTATTTTCTTCCCAGTCCTGTTTAACATGCACGACACAGACAACGATGGAACAATCACTCTGGAGGAGTACCGACATGTAAGCCACTGCCCAAACCTACCTTTCAAAATACTCAAATAATTTATCTGCCTATCACTTTGTATTGTAACCATGACTGCCTTGCCTCTGTATGTACTGTAGGTAGTGGAGGAGCTGCTGTCTCGGAGTGGAGCCCTGGGAAAGGAAACGGCTAAAGGAATAGCAGATGCTGCCATGCTGGAGGTAGCCAGTATCTCCATGGGTCACATGGTACAGCTGCTTTTTGACAACATCTTGTAAAATAGTTTTAGATCTGGAATCAGCTGCTATATGACATCCAACTATTATAATAGTTTTTTCAATACTATATTCAATAATCTCATTCTTCATTCTCAGGAACCAGATGAGTTTTACGAGGGGATCACTTTTGAACATTTTCTAAAGGTTTGTTATAAAACATATTATTTTGTGTCTAATAAAACATTTATTTTGTTGGTTAAAGTCATGGCTATAGCGTTTTCTTTTTAAAAGGTTTTTACTATAAAAGTAATAAAGTATAGATGATTTAAGTGAGCTTGCTGGAGAGCCCGTTAAATCATCTCTGTTCTTTTAAAGGCATAATCTGCGCTTCTAACATCCATTTTCGACTTTTAAATTAACGATATATGCCCATTGATTATTGAAGATTACAGTGGCTTGCGAAAGTATTCACCCCCCTTGGTATTTTTCCTATTTTGTTGCCTTACAACCTGGAATTAAAATTGATTTTTTGGGGGTTTGTATCATTTGATTTACACAACATGCCTACCACTTTGAAGATAACAAATCTTTTTTATTGTGAAACAAACAAGAAATAAGACAAAAAAACAGAACTTGAGCGTGCATAACTATTCACCCCCCCCCAAAGTCATTACTTTGTAGAGCCAACTTTTGCAGCAATTACAGCTGCAAGTCTCTTGGGGTATGTTTCTATAAGCTTGGCACATCTAGCCACTGGGATTTTTGCCCATTCTTCAAGGCAAAACTGCTCCTGCTCCTTCAAGTTGGATGGGTTCCGCTGGTGTACAGCAATCTTTAAGTCATACCACAGATTCTCAATTGGATTGAGGTCTGGGCTTTGACTAGGCCATTCCAAGACATTTAAGTGTTTCCCCTTAAACCACTCGAGTGTTGCTTTAGCAGTATGCTTAGGGTCATTGTCCTGCTGGAAGGTGAACCTCCATCCCAGTCTCAAATCTCTGGAAGACTGAAACAGGTTTCCCTGAAGAATTTCCCTGTATTTAGCGCCATCCATCATTCCTTCAATTCTGACCAGTTTCCCAGTCCCTGCCGATGAAAAACATCACCACAGCATGATGCTGCCACCACCATGCTTCACTGTGGGGATGGTGTTCTCGTGGTGATAAGAGGTGTTGGGTTTGCGCCAGACATAGTGTTTTCCTTGATGGCCAAAAGCTCAATTGTAGTCTCATCTGAACAGAGTACCTTCTTCCATATGTTTGGGGAGTCTCCCACATGGATTTTGGCGAACACCAAACGTGTTTGTTTATCTTTTTCTTAATCAATGGCTTTTTTCTGGCCACTCTTCTGTAAAGCCCAGCTCTGTGGAGTGTACGGCTTAAAGTGGTCCTATCCTCCTTCAGGATTATCTTTGGTCTCTTTGTTGCCTCTCTGATTAATGCCCTCCTTGCCTGATCTGTGGGTTTTGGTGGGCGGCCCTCTCTTGGCAAGTTTGTTGTGGTGCCATATTCTTTCCATTTTTTAATAATGGATTTAATGGTGCACGGTGGGATGTTCAAAGCTTCTGATATTTTTTTTATAACCCAATCTGTACTGTACTGCAATCTAACTAATTATGTGACTTCTGAAGGTAATTGGTTGCACCAGATCATATTTAGGGGCTTCATAGCAAAGGGGGTGAATACATATGCACCACCACTTTTCCGTTATTTATTTTTTAGAATTTTTTGAAACAAGTTATTTTTTAAATTTCACTTCACCAATTTTGACTATTTTAATTACAGTTTGTAATGCAACAAAATAGAAAAAACGCCAAGGGGATGAATACTTTTGCAAGGCACTGTATAAACTGGGTGGTTGGAGCCCTGAATGCTGATTGGCTGACAGCCGTGGTATATCAGACCGTATACCATGGGTATGACAAAACTGTTATTTTTACTGCTCTAAATACACTGGTAACCAGTTTATAATAGTAATAAGGCACCTCGGGGTTTGTGGTATATTGGCTATATACCACGGCTAAGGGCTGTTCTTAAGCACGATGCAATGCCATATACCACACCCCCTCAGGCCTTATTGCTTAAATATAACTTATAAATGCCTCATGACCTTAGTTCAACTGTCATACCCCATTAGAACCCAAAATATAAGCTTGTTTTACAAACACTGTCTAGCTTCATAACATGGTTAAGACTATCATTTTAATTTCTGGTGGATGGTCAGTCATTGCATCTAATTTCTAAAGTGGTTACATTTCTCCAGGCTTATCTCTCAAACAGCAGATTGCCCCTTTAACACATAAACAATAGCAGCACAATTGTTCTTGTTATTAAAGCACACAATAGTTGAAAGTATCATCAGAGTTTAGTAACTAAGTACTATACTGGTAGTAAAACAACATTTTATTTTCAGATACTGAAAGATATCGAGATCGAGACGAGAATGAACATTCGCTTTTTGAATATGGACACGACGACCCTGTGCAAGTGAGGATCTTCCACTTTTTTTTATTACTATGACGTACAAGCACTCTTTTATGGTCTTTTTATTTAGTGGCCAGTTAGGGCGTACTTTATGTACTCTGACAAACTATTAGAAAGCTCTGTTTATAGTTTTGTTTTGGGTTGTTATGAACTTTTAATTAGGTGACGGTTTAAGCTTCTACTATCTAGTAACCTCGAACACTCACTGTTATGTTTTTACAAATTAATTGAATTAAAAATATGTGCAACTATGCAAATATACACAGGTTAGCAGTAGGTATGTTATGAATTTAGCATGCCTGTATCTATCACTCCATATTTAATGCAAGAGTATTCACAATGCACTAAATGCCATGAATCAATAATGAATTCAATAGTAATGCAACAATCCAGTAATAATAATGCAATAAACCAGTAATAAAGCGATAGCCAATTATGCAGCTCCATGATTAAAGTGAATGCAATTTACCTCCTAGGTATATATATATATATATATATATATATATATATATATATATATATATATATATATATATGCATGCCACTGTGTGGAATAAGCTGCAAACATTTGCACAAGGAAAATCAAGAGCACATGTCTTTTATACCATCATGCACACCTAAACTGTTTTGCTGCCACTACCATCAGTTTGGAATCAAAACAGGTTATAATTTCCATGTGCATTAAAAAGCCAATGACCAATAGAAACAAAGTACTTATTTCCTAAGTTTAACTGACCAGCCTAGCAGTATAGTATAATGCACATATCCTATGGCAAGACCCTCCTCATATTGAGATAGTAGTTTCAAGTAAAATGTGCGTCAGACTTGTGCAAGGGTTTTAAAAATCAAGCCCATGTAAACAAGCATTTGTTAACTGTTAGAAATGGGAACAATGATACGCATGGAGAGTTCAGATTCAACTTGTCTGTGCTGCCCTCTAGAGACCAAAGAATGTGAAATCTATCTCATTCCCACATTAATCATCTCTATACTACCAATTTGATTTATGTATTTTTTTAAATTCATAATATGCTTTGTACAATTGTGTGACTTCCATCAAGATCAATATTTGATTATTGTTCTTCATCTACACTTAAATTACAAAATCACAGGAGGTTGGTGGCACCTTAATTGGGGAGAACGGGCTCGTTCTAATGACTGGAGTGGACCTCAGTTATTGCTGATGCTCCAGATACTCAACTAGTCTCAAGAAGGCCAGTTTTATTGCTTTTTTAAATCAGCACAACAGTTTTCAGCTGTGCTAACATAATTGCAAAAGGTTTTTCTAATGATCAATTAGCGTTTTAAATGATAAACTTGGATTAGCAAACACAACGTGCCATTGGAACACAGGACTGATGGTTGCTGATAATGGGCCTCTGTACGCCTATGTAGATATTCCATTACAAATCAGCCGTTTCCAGCTACAGTAGACATTTACAACATTAACATTACACTGTATTTCTGATCAATTTTATGTTATTTTAATGGACAAAAAAATTGCTTTTCATTCGAATACAAGGACATTTCTAAGTAACCCCAAACTTGAACGGCAGTGTATATATCATTTTTTTTGTTGGACCTTGTGTGCATTTGACCAATAAAGTGATCTTAATCAAAGTGCATTTATGTAATTACCTTCTCAAAAACCTTTTAAATATCTTTGGCGACTACTAAGTATTTTTTTTACTTTCCACTTTGGGCTGGATGTGTCAATGTTTTGTTCATACAGTGGGGGGAAAAAAGTATTTAGTCAGCCACCAATTGTGCAAGTTCTCCCACTTAAAAAGATGAGAGAGGCCTGTAATTTTCATCATAGGTACACGTCAACTATGACAGACAAAATGAGAAAAAAATATCCAGAAAATCACATTGTAGGATTTTTTTATGAATTTATTTGCAAATTATGGTGGAAAATAAGTATTTGGTCAATAACAAAAGTTTCTCAATACTTTGTTGTATACCCTTTGTTGGCAATGACACAGGTCAAACGTTTTCTGTAAGTCTTCACAAGGTTTTCACACACTGTTGCTGGTATTTTGGCCCATTCCTCCATGCAGATCTCCTCTAGAGCAGTGATGTTTTGGGGCTGTCGCTGGGCAACACGGACTTTCAACTCCCTCCAAAGATTTTCTATGGGGTTGAGATCTGGAGACTGGCTAGGCCACACCAGGACCTTGAAATGCTTCTTACGAAGCCACTCCTTCGTTGCCCGGGCGGTGTGTTTGGGATCATTGTCATGCTGAAAGACCCAGCCACGTTTCATCTTCAATGCCCTTGCTGATGGAAGGAGGTTTTCACTCAAAATCTCACGATACATGGCCCCATTCATTATTTCCTTTACACGGATCAGTCGTCCTGTTCCCTTTGCAGAAAAACAGCCCCAAAGCATGATGTTTCCACCCCCATGCTTCACAGTAGGTATGGTGTTCTTTGGATGCAACTCAGCATTCTTTGTCCTCCAAACACGACGAGTTGAGTTTTTACCAAAAAGTTATATTTTGGTTTCATCTGACCATATGACATTCTCCCAATCCTCTTCTGGATCATCCAAATGCACTCTAGCAAACTTCATACGGGCCTGGACATGTACTGGCTTAAGCAGGGGGACACGTCTGGCACTGCAGGATTTGAGTCCCTGGCGGCGTAGTGTGTTACTGATGGTAGGCTTTGTTACTTTGGTCCCAGCTCTCTGCAGGTCATTCACTAGGTCCCCCCGTGTGGTTCTGGGATTTTTGCTCACTGTTCTTGTGATCATTTTGACCCCACGGGGTGAGATCTTGCGTGGAGCCCCAGATCGAGGGAGATTATCAGTGGTCTTGTATGTCTTCCATTTCCTAATAATTGCTCCCACAGTTGATTTATTCAAACCAAGCTGCTTACCTATTGCAGATTCAGTCTTCCCAGCCTGGTGAAGGTCTACAATTTTGTTTCTGGTGTCCTTTGACAGCTCTTTGGTCTTGGCCATAGTGGAGTTTGGAGTGTGACTGTTTGAGGTTGTGGACAGGTGGCTTTTATACTGATAACAAGTTCAAACAGGTGCCATTAATACAGGTAATGAGTGGAGGACAGAGGAGCGTCTTAAAGAAGAACTTACAGGTCTGTGAGAGCCAGAAATCTTGCTTGTTTGTAGGTGACAATACTTATTTTCCACCATAATTTGCAAATAAATTCATTAAAAATCCTACAATGTGATTTTCTGGATTTTATTTTCTCAATTTGTCTGTCATAGTTGACGTGTACCTATGATGAAAATTACAGGCCTCTCTCATCTTTTTAAGTGGGAGAACTTGCACAATTGGTGGCTGACTAAATACTTTTTTCCCCCACTGTACAGGCATAATCTATTAGCAGAATTACTGTCTTAACTCACTTAGCCACGAAATCCCTAGTTTGAAATTGACTGCTTTTTCTGGAAGCTGTGCTGTGCCATTTTCCCCCACGTGGGCCAGCCCCCTAGCAATTTGAGTTCTAGCCAATGAGCTTCAGACCCTCGCCACACAGCAGCGTGAGAGAGTACTGATGTGGGGCACATACCTTCACATATGTAATTTTCAGGGACCACCTTTGGCTCGTCAGCGCTACTTTCAGAACTACTGGCTAAAAAGTATGCAAAAGTACCGGTGAATCTCTTTAACTTCCCCAGACCTCAGTTATAGCATTACTCCCTCTGTCATAGTGTATATGCTGTGGTGAGGGGTGTCCTCCCCTTACCTTACCTACCTTACCTTACCCCAAACATGACAAACAAACCACAGACCTACATACTGATCTAATTTTTGTTGTGTGTACGTTATTGTAAATGAGTGGTGGTTTACCACAGTTGACTGTAAATTGATTTCATTTGTAGTTTTCATAGCAGAACAGTCCGCATGAAACATTTTACATAATTAACTGCCAAAGTAGCACATTCTTGAAGACTTCCTGGTACTCTCATAAAATGTGCTCAGTTTATCTGAAGGGAGTTTTTTCTGTCTGTCCCTCATGACCAGACAGACTTTTAGCTGATTATAGCAGCTTTTATCATCCTCCCATTTTTCCCATATGTATATGACCTTTCACCTCTTCTTGGATATAGAAAATAACATGATAAAGAGAAAGCAAGTTAGTGCTTTGATTCACCTGAAGACTTATGATTATCTAGTCTGTTTCAATGACAATGGGAATTGGTGTCAATGACCTTTTATTCCAGTAAATGTTTGAGGATTTCAGATGTTGCCCAGACTTACCCCCTTGTCTCTTGGTTTTAAATAAAGTTCTGGGTTAAAACAGGGAACTTGATTCATGACCTAGAGTGTATCCCTCCTCAATTACCAGTTTTGCATGAGCTCGTGATCAAAGGAAAGTTTAGAATATTTCTGATAGCATTTGTCTGTTGCTTATTTGGATTGTTTTTCTACAGATGGCGCACACTATTACAAACTATCAGTTACATTCATTATGTGTCAACTGCAAACAAGTTTACTTACTACCTTTATCCACCCAAGCAACACTCACGCAACATACTTGGTTGTAATTGACACTTGATATGGTAAACTGACAGTCTATTGATAATTAGTTTGATATAGAATGTAAAAACACGAAACTCTTGTATTTCGTGCCAGTACAGGTCTGCCTTATAGGGAGTGATGCAGAGAACCATTACATCTATGTGAACGCATCACCCCAGAACACACAGATAATCTGACCCATACACACCCACACCTTGTGACTGGCCAGACAGAAGCCTGCCACTTTCACAAAATCTTTCCTATCAGATGCTGTGCTGTCTTCAAGACATGTGTCACTGTGAGATGAGATCACAGACTCAATGTCTCAATTGCTTCCTGGCATATCTCATGTTGGGACCACTGTGTTGAAGTTTTGCAGTCTAAAGTTAATGTCACAGACTTCACTTGAGCACATGGTTCGAAAATAATTATTTTTAATTTGCTCACAAAACATAAATGAACAAAACTATCAAAGTGACTCAGATTTGACAAAAGACATTCATTTTAAAATCTCAGTATTTATGACCCTACTCTACAAGAATACTCCAGGGCAATTTTAACACATAAGTTCATTAATTCTCAACACAAACAAAATATATGTATGTAAGTTTATTCAAAGTCGGAAAACATTTGTGCAGAGAGTTTTCTTTCAGTGGCAGCAATAAGCTTCCGTAACTTCTGAACACGTGTACAAATAAATAATAAATAAAATAAATAGAAAGTTGGCCTCAAAACATTGTATTTGTGCCTGCAAATGTCCTACTTGTGCACATGTGTTTCTTTAAGGTCCTTAGTTCATGTGTGATCCGTGACAGGAGCTCCTTGAAACTCTTCAGAACCACACAACCATAGACCTTCTGTTGGAACACGTTTTGGGAGGGCAGTATTGACGTCGGTCCGTCTACAGGTTCAGGTGGGATGGGCAGGTTTGGAAAGAGGGTTTGGTAAATGCAGTTTATTTGGCTGGCCAGACCACTGGTGCGGTTCAGGGCAGTGGTGAGTTTGTTCAGCAGGGGGCTGGAGGGTGGCTGTAAGTCTGTCTGTTGCTCAGTGACTCTCTTCAGGTGTGGTAGGAAAGCCTTACAGTGGGAGTAGATACTCAGCATCCGCTCTGAGGGGTCCATGCCAGAAATGTTTGGGTCAGGAACGATGTTGATTGACATCTGGCAGAACAGCTCTGACATGTCTCCTTGACTGGCCTTCTGGAGATCAATGAAGAAAAACATAACATTTGTAGAAGATATTGGTAGCACGAGTATAATGCCTTATGATTTGGCAGGAATGTATCTTTAAAGCAGTTCTACATTTCCCATTAGACTGTGGATGATTTCATTGTATGCATGTTACACTAGGCTGTAATTCTGGACAAATGTTATGGCATTGATTTTCTACTTACATATGTTTTTAAGAGGTCCACAGATTCTTCATGTATGAGTGTAGTTAGCATGGAACTTTTTTGTAGGGAACTCCTACACTGTTGGTTCCTACATGCTACTCCAGCACTCACTGAATCAATGGCAGCAACCAGTAACAGGGAGAGCAATGCTGAGGAGCAAGATATGACACAATTTAAAATCTACGTCTACATTACTTGCTCTTTGGGGTTTTAGGTTGACTTTCTGTGTAAGCATTTTGTGACAACTTCTCATGGAAGAAGGGCTTTATAAATAGACACTAAATCATGCTACCTTAGCAGTGTAACATGAAAATCTAAATTAGAAGTATGAAGAAGTTCTGAAACGGATATGTTGCGATAAGTAGCTGTGGTAACCGTTACAGTATGTAAAATGTATACATGCACAAAGGACACTAAAAGTTGAGTGTACATATACAGATGTAGGATCGTAAAATGATAGCTCTTTTGTTCCTGAGAATGTGTATCAACCTCTGCTGTATCAAACTAGCTCAAATTAAGATCCTACATGTATACTAAGTTTGTACCCGTGCACTGAGTACAGTCATTCATACACAAAAACAAAAATCGATATGCAATTATGTGCACAGCATCATACATTCAATGTCTGCACATTGATGTTCTATAAATACCAGTGACATTACAGCAAAGTAAAGTACAGTATGCAGATGGTTGAATGTACAGTTATAGAATATGAAATAAAGCTATCTTGGTTGTATAATGTAGTTGTACTTACTTCTTGCTGCTGATATGGACAACTGAGGACACATATTCTTTACATGACCACTCATTTCTCATATAGTGACACATGCCAAGTGTCCGACACAAACTAGTCATGATCACTCCCCTGGAAAATGTTTTAAAAGACTGAAACCACGCATTTGTCATTGGAGGAAATGACGTGCTCGGCTCTTTCTTTATGAAGCAACTCAATTTCCCCAGAATTTTATTTTTTTCAGACCTGAATTATTTTCTGTCTTTGATCTCAAATCTAAATGAATGTGTATGTTCACCACTGGCTGCAGTCTGAGCTCACTCCCACAGGGTTCACAGATACCAGATCTATCTACAACAAATATGCATTGCAGGTGTATTCATTTGTATATTGAGCACATACATTTACAAACAGCATAACTGTCAATGGATTATACTCTTTGAGGTACTGTAAATGCTGTGTTAACAAATTAATGTAATAACCTATGCGTATGTGAGGTCATTTGTTTTATACCAGTCACAAGAGGTCAACCCACTCTGACAAAATTAATCATAGATAGTACTGTCGCCCCCTAGAGTAAGTGGTTGTGAAGTTTTACAGTAAGTCGATGCTTGTAGTGTTGCATTCTATTGTGAAGTCTTACAGTAAGTCAGTGCATGCGGTGTTGCAATCTGTTGAGTTGGGGTATCATAAAATGATACATGGTTGATTACCTCATAGTTACACACAGGAGCTGCATTGAATATAGTAAATACTGTAAAGCTGTGCTCTTGTCATTAGAGGAAACAAAACAGAGTGAGCGCACAGTGGTTGCTTACGTCAGTTAAGACCATGTACCCATTTTCAGGTTCATGAGAAACCCTTGCATGTGGCCTTACGGGAAGCTGTCAACACACAGGAAGAGAGTTTCTCAATAGGAGACTTTCACCAGTGTGTAAAAGACAGAGTAAAGAATGGGTCATAGTCACCAAAGTAGGCTAGGAGACAACATTACCACATCGTGAGTAGTAGGGGAGACCGGGGTTGGTTGTCCCACGGGTTGGTTGTCGCAGTGCTCTTTACTCAAAATCTAGGGGGGGGTATTGGTATTTATTAGGATCCCCATTAGCCGCTGCAAAAGCATCAGCTACTCTTACTGGGGTCCACATGAAACAAGAACATAATACATAGTACAAAACATTATTAGTGAAGGACTGAAATGCACACATTTAAAACGTCTACATATCAGTACATAGAGTGCATTTGGAAAGTATTCAGACCCCTTGACATTACAGCATTATTCTAAAATGGATTGAATTGTATTTTTCCTCATCAATCTACACACAATACCCCATAGTGACAAAGCGAAAACAGGTTTTCATACATTTTAACAAATTTATTAAATATTTAAAAAACAGATACCTTATTTACATAAGTATTCAGACCCTTTGCTATGAGACTCAAAATTGAGCTCATGTGCATCCTGTTTCCATTGATCATCCTTGAGATGTTTTCTACAACTTGATTGGAGTCCACCTGTGGTAAATTCAATTGATTGGACATGATTTGGAAAGGCACAAACCTGTCTATATAAGGTCCCACAGTTGACAGTGCATGTCAGAGCAAAAACCAAGCCTTGAGGTCAAAAGGAATTGGCCATAGAGCTCCGAGATAGGATTGTGTCGAGGCACAGATCTGGGGAAGGGTACCAAAACATTTCTGCAGCATTGAAGGTCCCCAAGAACACAGTGGCCTCCATCATTCTTAAATGGAAGAAGTTTGGAACCACCAAGACTCTTCCTAGAGCTGGCCGCCTGGCCAAACTGAGCAATCGGGGGAGAAGGGCCTTGGTCAGGGAGGTGACCAAGAACCCGATGGTCACTCTGACAGAGCTCCAGAGTTCCTCTGGAGATGGGAGAACCTTCCAGAAGGATAACCATCTCTGCAGCACTCCACCAATCATGCCTTTATGGTAGAGTGGCCAGACGGAAGACACTCCTCAGGAAAAGGCACATGACATCCCGCTTGGAGTTTACCAAAAGGCACCTAAAGACTCTGACCATGAAAAACATGAGAAACAAGATTCTCTGGTCTGATGAAACCAAGATTGAACTAAAGAACTGAATGCCAAGCGTCACGTCTGGAGGAAACCCGGCACCATCCCTACGGTGAAACATGGTGGTGGCAGCATCATGCTGTGGGGATGTTTTTCAACGTCAGGGACTGGGAGACTAGTCAGGATCGAGGGAAAGATGAATGGAGCAAAGTACAGAGAGAACCTTGATGAAAACCTGCTCCAGAGCGCTCAGGACCTCAGACTGGGGGGGAAGGTTCACATTCCAACAGGACAATGACCCTAAGGACACAGCCAAGACAACACAGGAGTGGCTTCGGGACAAGTCTCTAAATGTCCTTGAGTGGCCCAGCCAGAGCCCGGACTTGAACCCGATCTAACACCTCTGGAGAGACCTGGAAATATCTGTGCAGCGACACTCCCCATCCAACGTGACAGAGCTTGAGAGGATCTGCAGAGAAGAATGGGAGAAATACAGGTGTGCCAAGCTTGTAGCGTCATACCCAAGAAGACTCGAGGCCGTAATCGCTGCCAAAGGTGTTTCAACAAAGTACTGAGTGAAGGGTCTGAATACTTATGTTTTAAATGTGATATTTCATTGTTGTATTTTGCAAAATTGTCTAAAAACCAGTTTTTGCTTTGTTATTATGGGGTATTGTGTGTAGATTGATGAAGGGGGAAAAAAACAATTTAATCAATTTTAGAATAAGGCTGTAACGTAACAAAATGTGGAAAAAGTCAAGGTGTCTGATAACTTTCCGAATGCATTGTAGTTATATGATGGAATCATAGTTATATCCATAAACAATTACTTTTATTGAGAAGAGGAAAGGGATTTATTTCAAACCTATTTGAGTTCCATGTGTTAACTAGCATCACATTGATGTTGGGCTTGCATGTCACAATCTGACAACCATCCCCATTGTAAGCTGAATTACGTTGAAAAGACGCCTAAAATACTTATATTCCATATGTTGAAAAGACGTCTATGTTTCAGAAGTTTGGACAGCACAGTACAGTACAGTCCTGTTGAAGTTGAGGACTTGGTGGACTGTATATTCTGTAGGGTTAGGTTTTACTTAGCACTGTGTTCTCTCCCAGGTGCTTGTAAGGGCACAGATGACAGACCGGTATGATTCCAGTTGAGGTTGTTTAATGACGCTGATTCACAGACTTTACTTGGCTCATTGCGCTCTAGCGACTCCTTGTGGTGGGCCTGGCGCCTGCAGGCTGACTGCGGTCGTCAGTTGAGTGGTGTTTCCTCCGACACATTGGTGCAGCTGGCTTCCGGGTTAAGCGGGCGGGTGTTAAGAAGGGCGGTTTGGCGGGTCATGTTTCGGAGAACGCATGACTCGACCTTCGCCTCTCCCGAGCCCGTTGGGGAGTTGCAGCGATGAGACAAGTTCACAATTGGATATCACGAAATTGGGGAGAAAAAGGGGGTAAAATACAAAAAATGTAGTTAACACAAATGTTTACAGCTTTAATTTTTTTACTTTATCAAAATATTTAATTTTCATCCAAATATCAGATGGTTACTGTTTGTTTTATTCAGCATTGATATGACAATTTGAGTGGAGTAAGAACTACAATGTCACACTACTGTATGTTGAATTTATTTTTACTTATTTATTTTAGTTAGAAATACTGTTCTATAAATAAAGGCTTTACTTTTTCTAAAACTTTGTAAATTGGTTTAATTATTGCTGAAAAGCAAATGGCTAACACTGTGACAACCAACCCCATACTGTGTGACAACCAACCCCAGGATGGGGCTGGTTGTCACTAGTGGACAGAGTGTGTTTGATGGCTTATAACTCCATGTTGGAATAAGATACTCTATAAGGATAAAAGGGTCCCCATTTCAACCCAAGACCTTATAAATAGTTTTATAACATATACTGGTGCTGAAAAATACACTAATTAGTCAAAGTGACAACTAACCCCTGTCTCTCCTACCCTGTAGTGTCTGTCTCTGTCCCCAGCACCAAACCAAGCCACACCTCGAAGGCTATTGAAACCTACAACATTTTATTTTGTCAGGAAACTCCTGTTAGGTAAATCTGTGTTTCAGCTTTGTCATCAGATGAGGATTGTCCAATTACTTATCCGTTTATTTTGTTTATAACCAATAAAAATCATGCTGCTCCATTTTCAACCACAATCCCCAAATATTTGATTGAACCAACCATGACCCCAAACAATTATGAATTTTCAGTGATGACATTTGTGAAATTAATCACCAAAGTGGGGCAAGTACTGAAAACGGTCATTTTTAAAAGAAACATTTTGCTTACTCATGACATGATGTAAGAATGATGCATGTTGTTCATTTCTGCTTGATTCAGACTTGTTGATGTTGATTCAACCAGTTTTTTGGAGGTGAGCATTTTATTCTGATTTACATCAGCAGGGACTCTAGTTCTATCAGATGACTGACTGTTTGAGAAAAGTCAGGGGGAACTCGTACGACCACATCCCTGTCAGCACAACTCAGGTAAGGGTAGAGCGCCTCTACCACAACTCCTCTACCATGCATCCCAGGGTACTTTCCATTTAGCCAATGTTTAAAAGGCTGCTGCTGATACCACAGCCAGTCAACACTTCGAGGAACTTACAGTTGAATTCTTGCCAGTGAATACAGACTTAAAGTCAGTGAGAATGTCCCTCCCCTACAGCCAGATCAAACAGATACACAGTCTGCATGGTAAGATGGTAGGCCACAGGGCATCGAGGAAACACAGGAAGCCGTGTAACTTCCCTCACCAGCAGTTCACACACAGCACTGTGGGAAATATGGACTGTCCCTTCTTGTGAATCTGACATGCTATAATTATTTTTGTATTTTTTGTGACTCCTTACGGTATGCGGTTGTTCTGGTCAATAACACTTTGCCAGGTCAGTGTGTATACTGTATATAATGCATATGGTAACAATACAGGAAATAATAAAATAATTGCACATTGACAATGGATGCAGGATGTTGATGCAGTCATCATGTTTCAAGATAATTTATTTTATTTTGTCTCTGTGCCACACAGGAAATGCTGCATGGCTTAGTTTAGGAAAGTCCCCTTTATTCTAGCTAAATACATATTTCTTGATAACTGAAGTTCACATAAACACTTTGGTTCATAACAGGTTTGAACCAGGTTTGAACCATTTGTCAACAAAAGTTACAATCTGAAAAACCTTCCAACCTCAAAATATGTTGCATTCAAAGGAGTAATTTACAGCAAATCATTCCAAAACTGAGGCCTATAGTATAACTTTGTCACTTGAAGTCTAGCCACGAGCCATGAGTCTGGGGGTATCAACAATGCCATACTGGGTTTCTCACATTGAAAATATTAGTTGTATTTCGAATTCCATAGTTAGTTCTCTTGCATTTGTGTCAGATATTATACCATTCTCAATCTCACTTGCCCAGCCCACCACTATGAAGAGCATGATTTCCATCACTTATCAATGTGTTGGAAATAGGACTGGGGAGTGGGTTTGGAGGCAACTGTCAAAATACCAGGGTTGCATTCAAGATCTCAACACTAAACAATCTTTTGAAACTGTTCACCCTGGACACTTTGAAATAGTTTGTAACATCTATAGACAGACATTCAATCTGGTCTTCTATCTGTGTCAAAGGACCACGAAGGCTGATGGTGATATTAGAAATCAAGCACCAAACCATTTCCTTCCCAGTCACTGTAATGGACACATGGTGCAACCTTATGTGCAATAACAACAGTGAACACTGCAAAACATTGTACATCTGGTAACTAAACAGCTATGACTTGAATGCAACCCAGAACAAAGCAACCACCTGCCAGGTTAACCATTAACAGACATCTTTAAAAAAGATGTACTTACAGTAATTCTGTGATACCATTAAACTGTTTTTATACAATCTGATAAGTCTGCAGTGATTTGTTTTCAGTATGTTGCTCTACTGTATTACCATGTCAGTTATATTTGTGACAAAAAAAAAACGTATTTCCAATTAAAATGTGAAGTTCCTTCATCAGTAATCGACCAATGCTTCTGTATCTCCTAGCTAGGTTCTCAAATACAAATATTTATATCAAAAGTTATACAGCACAATTCTCACCATTTTCCTTTACAATACCTTTTGATTAGTGAACATTAAATGATTCACAAATTTGAATGGAACAAACAATGGTGTTGGCCGTGCTAAACAAACATGAAGGAACAACTACAAATCAAAACCGCTTCATAGGCACAACTTAAATAAAGGCATTTGTGAAATTGTCATATCTAATATGGCGCTTATGTTCAGTATCAATAGGCATTAAAACAAAAATGCTATGACCACTTTTATTTACAAACGGCTAAAATCTCGACAGATTCATGCTTTACTTCACAACCTGAATGTCTTTAAAGTGCATGCAATAATAAGCAGTTTTACTGAGTTGAATCATTGTGTTAAATACACACCTTGATTAAACTGATGCCAATAATTCCTAAATACTGAACGATGGAAAATAAATACTGTAATTATTTAAAAAAGTGAAGGAATATATTCTTTAGCACAATATGGAATTAAGTAAAAGCTCTCCATAAAACTGTCTACATACAACCTCTGACACCGTCCCCATACCTTTTTCTAGCTTACAGTATTCACATACAGTATTACTCACATTCTCTGAGAAGAAAGACGAAGCAGCTAAACACCACGGTGTAGTCCGCAGCTCACATTCCACAATCGCAATGCCCCTCAATGTAACATACGCATTAAGCATTATCTGAACATGATGGGTTAATACTTAAACATATCAAAGTGCTCATTTTTACTAAAATTTCCTGAATTCATACCAAAAGGAGGATGACGGCATGGAGAAAAGAGTCAGTTATTATTTTTAATAAGCATTTTTTTCTCAATCTCCAACGCGTTACTTTTCAGTTACACACACTTGGTTTGTGTTGTGAATGAATCTTGTTTTATTTTCCTCCTTTTTAAGTTGCACATGACTGCGCTATGCTGTGGTGTGGTATCTAAAAGACTGTAGAGAGAAAGAGAGAGAGTTATCCAGCGTTGTCACTGTGGAGGTTGACAGTGAGACAGTGCAGGCACGTGTCTACACCATACACCAGAAGAGAAGAGTCCTCCACACACACATCCATTTTCATCTGTCGTCCTCCTTGGGGAAGTCCAGTGATCCTAAGCTCCCAAACCCCAGCCTAGCGCTCTCTGCATCGAAAGCGTCCATCTCCCTCTCCTGCCGTTCAAACAGGTGCTTGATCCTTTCAGTGCGTTCCTTCTGAAGTGAGGCCAGCTCCTCTTCAATCTGAATCCACAATAGTGAATATATAACAATCAAATAGGTGAAGTGGTCAGTTTAAAGAGGTGAGTCTGTGTTACTTATAAAATAATAAAAACATACCTTTTGTTCCAGGTGGGCCCTGCGTAAGGAGACTTCCTGCTCCAGCTTCTGCAGCTCCTGCTCGTGTTGGGCTTCTGTCTGGGCCTTGGTCTTGCTCTGGTAGGCATCCAGGAGCTCCACCTCCTGCTGCAGCTGCTGCTTCAACGCCTGGCACTCTCTTTGCTGCTCCTCCTCCAGACGCATCTGGAGGACAAGAGAGCGAGAGAGAGAGGGTTAAACATACATGTAAGTAAAGTAGCCTTGCACAAGCTGGAACGACTCATAGGAGCAGGAGCTTATCTCCTGTTTCTGTAGCATGATGTACAAATACACCCCCTGGACAGGACGCTAGTCTATCGTGGGGCCTTACCCCAATCTATCTCCTTAAAGCTAAGTGCCAAGCAGAGACTCTTCGGGTCCCATTTTTTCAGTCTTTGGTATGACTCGGCCAGGGATCGAACTCCCAACCTTCCCATCTCAAGTCAGACACTCTAACCACAAGGCCACTGAGTTGGTAAAAAATGAAAAGCATGTACCAGCAGAGATTGTGTGGCTGTTTGGAGGTTAAGGGCCCAGCCAGAGCCCGGACCACCCCTTACCGCTTGTGAGGCCATCATCTCATTGATGCTCTGCTCGTACTGCTCGGCCAGCACCGCGAGCTTGCGTGTCTGCTCCTCCTTCAGTGACTTTAGGATGGCCTTGTGCTCACTCTTAGGAGAGACCTCAAGCTGATGGTTCCTCAGGGCTTTGTATTGCTTGTTCTGCACCTTACACGTGTCCTGGAACTGTTTCTTGATCTGCATCTCCAACATCTCCAGATGGACAAATAGAAAGAAACAATGGTAAGAAACATACAGTAATTTTGCCGGTTTTGGGTGCCGGCTGAGCTTCAGTCTGACCAGGGGTGCAACGTTAATTCAAGGGTCTTTGCCTAGATGTGCAGACACACAATGATTCATCATTGGCTCTTACTAAACCAAATTTACAGTGCAACAGCTGCAGTATAGATTCTATGCACCTTGAGGTTCCGGGGCTGCTGCCTCTGTTCCAGGGCGTGCTTCCTGTGCAGCTCTCTCTGCCGCCGGCCGTTGTACTCCTCCTGGTTCTCCAACTCGGTCTGGTGCTGCAGGCGGATCAGATCAACACGGAGCCTCTGCAGCGTCTGCAGCTGCCTGCGCTCCAGCTCCTGAGTGGACTCGTCCTGTCGGATCATCAGGGCCTGCTCCATCTCCTTCTGGGTCTTCTTCTTATTCAGCTCCTGGTACGGGACATATTCCTCATCTTTCCATTTCATTTCAAATATACAATACTTCAGATTTGTACAATGCAAACTAGGCCATTTAACAAAAGAGGCAAAGTTGAAGAAAGCAATCATACAATAGACTGATAAAGAAGGTATATAAAAGCACACATCTATCAGCATCATGGGCACTGCATGTTGTGAGTAAGTTAGCTAACTAAATCTCAGAGAGGAACTGTACCTCTCTCATTTGCTCCTGTTCAAACTCGTGCCTCCTGACCAGTGTCCTGCGTTTCAGGGCCCGGCAACTCCTGTCATAGACCAGCCTCTGCTGGTCAAGGAGGTGGGCCTCATCGTCAGCCTGCGAGCGCTGCACCGTCTCCTTGTGTCTGGACAGACGCTCCTGCTTCTCCTCCTTGGGCGTACTGGGGTCCTCATACATCTCCTGCAACCCCCAGACAAGAACCAGGGCTTAGTGGTCATGGGAGAAAATGCATGGAAAATGCAAACAATTTCACACAAACAATGTTAATGATTTATACGTTTACCTCTTTGATCTTCTCTTTACAGAGCCTGTACTCTCTTTTCTGGTTGTCTAAGAAGGTGGTCAGCTCCTTCTTTTGCTGGGCAATGATCTGTTGCTGGATCCTCTTCTCCTCTGCTGTAGCTGCCTTTAACTGTACGGTAACATATTAAATGTTCCAGAATTAGAGGTTTATCACCTCCCTTCGATGTTCTGTTTAAAATTCTGACATTATGCTGAAAGGGCAAAATTCTAAGGATGCTATCTAATCAAGGAGTTTGAACATCTTCAGTTTACACCTCATTCATACCAATCCGAACCTACTGTCCTACCAGGCTACAGTACGTCATTCACCTCTTTGTCTGTGTGAACGGCATGCCGTTTGGCCAGTCTCTCCAGTTCTATGTAAGTGTTGTTGGCGTGGGTCTCCACTTCTTTCTGCAACCGGAGCCTATGCTCATCCATCTCCGCCTTCAGCCTGTTCTCCAGGGCGATCAGCTGCTTCTGGTGCTGCCGCCGCGTGCGCTTATAACCAGACATCTGCTCCCGCAGCTCAGAGTCCTGCTCATGCTCCTGGATCTACCTGGTGACCTGGACACAGGGGTCAGGGGTCGGAGGCCACAGAGAGAACGGTCAGGGGTGAAAAGCAAGAGGGCCTGTGAAGGAAGACGACTGTAGAATTAAAATGTACTGTACTGTATCGTTCAACATGGACGAGTACCCTAGTCATACTCTGTAATAGACTGTAAAATACAGAAGAACAATGTTCTTTGTGAATCTGACTCATAACTTGACATATTTTATTGTCTTTGCAAGAATACCTTAAATGGAATAGAATCCTCACAAAGACTATATACAATACACCTAAAGGTAATATATAATCTGAGTTCTAGTCCAACACCTGTAAAGTCCAATCAATTATAACTAAAGATCGCCTCTATGACCACCTGTCACAAATCCTGTCATAAATGTGACACATACAAACACACACACGCAAAGGCATATGCACACACACACACACACACACACACACACAAAATTGTTAATTGGTGGACATTCCTGAGGATTATTAGCTACAGTATCTGTGGATAGCATTTTCCAGGGCAGGAAATAATGCATACTGCTCCTCTTCACTGATTGATCATGGCTGCTTGGCTCAGATTTCATGCTAGTAACACAGCACATGCATCATCAATTATGGTAGCTACATACATGAACATGAAGAGGGTGCCTTGAATGTAAATGTGGTGTTCTTCATGCTAATATATCTGTCAAGTACATACTGTATATGTAGCCACAAATGGAACGGTATGAGCCTGGTTTGCAGGCCTACTATTGAATGGTAATGGTAAAGGTACAGCTTGTAAATCAATAACAAAAAACACTTGAAATCACGATAAACAGACATCGAAATAGATTTTATATAAATCCAAACGATTACACACACATAAAATAAAGGCAGAGGGGGGGAAACGGAGGATGGAAAAAACAACACTTATTAACGGGATCTGGTTGCCATGACTACAGATGTGCAGCTGAGAGGACGGAGAGGGAGAGAGAGACCCCCCCCCCCCCCCCATTTCTTATGCAAACAACGCGGAGAGGGAGCCTGCCTACCAAAGATGCTGATGATTTGATGGTGGCAAAGCGTTCAGAGATCTTGCAGTCGAGAGCCCGGCTCTTGTGAGAAGAAGTAGGCCGCAGCTCTGGCCTGGCGTCCCTGTGCACAGCCTCATCCCTCACGCAAGCATGGTCCTGCAGGGGGGGAGGAAAAGGAGGAGAGAGAGGGAGTGGGCACTTCCCAGGCCCTCTGTGCTCGCTGCTGCTGCTGCTATCGCTGCCGTGTCTCCCAGCATCCAGCACACATCCTGCTTTAAATGCATCCTTCCCCTGCGTGGTCCCTCGCTACTGCCTGCAGCTCCTCGCTAGAAAAGAACAGGGCATCGCAGAGTGATCGCATGCATCGCCAGGAAGGCATCAGCTGAAGGCAGTCCTTGTTTCTGGCGTCTCCACTTCCTGAGGAGGAGGAACCAAATGGATCCGGTGGGAAAGGGTGAATTATACAATGCCTATAACAGACAATCAGGACAAAAAGAAGAGGAGGAAAATTATAAAGAGAGATTGTTGCACTCCTCCTCTCTGTACTCAAAAAAAAAAATAATAGATTATGAGCGGTATTCCTTTTATTGTATTCCCATGATGATATGTTAGGTGATCTGTGAAAATATGCAAATCAAACACGGATCCATCCAAGGCATATTTATCCTATTTATCCTCTTTCTTAGATGGTTGTTTCTAGTGCCTTCTATTGATCTCTCCAGCTCTCTCACTCGCCATCTCTCACACTCCCCTTTTTTTCTTTTAAAGAGACACTGCACTGTTTCACAGACTGGATGGAAGCTATACAACGATACTTTAAATTCATTACATGGTGTGGCTTCCTTAATTAAACAGAATGTTGCTGATTCTTGATACAGATTTGCAAACATTTCTGAAGAAGGTCATTATAAAAGTGTCATACAATAGTAGTATTGTAAAAACTACTTATAATGAATACTAGTTCAGAGGACTGGCTAATAGGTAACCTACTGTACAGATAACGTGATTACCCTTTACAATAACTTTCATGAATAAGCCGTTATAAATGCTTATACGTGTTTTGTAAATTATTATGTAATTCTAATTGTTTATGAATGCTTAAATGTTTACAAATAATAACATTGTAATTCATGAATAGGTACACCATTTATAAATATGTACAGTGCCTTCGGAACGTATTCAGACCCCTTGACTTTTTCCACGTTACAGCCTTATTCTAAAATGGATTAAAAAAAACATTTCTCTCATCAATCTACACACAATACCCCATAATGACAAAGCAAAAACAGGTTTTTAGAAATTGTAGCTAATTAAAAAAATTTAATAAAATGACATATCACATCTACATAAATATTCAGACCCTTTACTCAGTACTTTGTTGAAGCAGCTTTAGCAGCGATTACAGCCTCAAGTCGTCTTGGGTATGAAGCTACAAGCTTGGCACACCTGTATTTGGTGAGTTTCTCCCATTCTTCTCTGCAGATCCTCTCAAGCTCTGTCAGGTTGGATGGGGAGCGTTGCTGCACAGCTATTTTCAGGTCTCTTCAGAGATGTTTGATCGGGTTCAAGTCCGGGCTCTGGCTGGGCCACTCAAGGACATTCAGAGACTTGTCCTGAAGCCACACCTGTGTTGTCTTGGCTGTGTGCTAAGAGTCGTTGTCCTGTTGGAAGGTGAACCTTCGCCCCAGTCTGAGCTCCTGAGCGCTCTGAAGCAGGTTTTCATCAAGGATCTCTCTGTACTTTGCTCCGCTCATCTTTGTGTGGTCCTCTGTAGCTCAATTGGTAGAGCATGGCGCTTGTAACGCCAGGGTAGTGGGTTCGATCCCCGGGACCACCCATACGGAAAAATGTATGCGCACATGACTGTAAGTCGCTTTGGATAAAAGCGTCTGCTAAATGGCATATTATATATTATATTATATCTTTGCCTCGATCCTGACTAGTCTCCCAGTCCCTGTCGCTGAAAAACATGCCCACAGCATGATGCTGCCACCACCATGCTTCACCGTAGGGATGGTGCCAGGTTTCCTCCAGACGTGACGCTTGGCATTCAGGCTAAAGAGTTTAATCTCGGTTTCATCAGACCAGAGAATCTTGTTTCTCATGGTCTGAGAGTCCTTTAAGTGCCTTTTGGCAAACTCCAAGCTGGCTGTCATGTGCCTTTTACTGAGGAGTGGCTTCCGTCTGACCACTCTACCATAATGGCCTGATTGGTGGAGTGCTGCAGAGATGGTTGTCCTTCTGGAAGATTCTCCCATCTCCACAGAGGAACTCTGGAGCTCTGTCAGAGTGACCATCGGGTTCTTGGTCACCTCCCTGACCAAGGCCCTTCTCCCCCGATTGCTCAGTTTGGCCGGGCGGCCAGCTCTAGGAAGAGTCTCGTTGGTTCCAAACTTCTTCCATTTAAGAATGATGGAGGCCACTGTGTTCTTGGGGACCTTCAATGCTGCAGACATTTTTGGTACCCTTCTACAAATCTATGACTCGACACAATCCTGTCTCGGAGCTCTACGGACAATTCCTTCGACCTCATGGCTTGGTTTTTGCTCTGACATGCACTGTCAACTGTGGGACCTTATATAGACAGGTGGTTGCCTTTTCCAAATCATGTCCAATCAATTTAATTTACCACAGGTGGACTCCAATCAAGTTGTAGAAACATCTCAAGGATGATCAATGGAAACAGGATGCACCGGAGCTCAATTTTGAGTGTCATAACAAAGGGTATGAATACTTGTGTAAGTAAGGTATTTTTTTAAAATTATTAACCAAAAAACAAAACAAAAACTGTTTTCGCTTTGTCATTATGGGTATTGTTGAGGGAAAAAACGTATTTCATCCATTTTAGAATAAGGCTTTAACGTAACAAAGTGTGGAAAAAGTCAAGGGGTCTGAATACTTTCCGAATGTCGTTTCATTGAAAGCAAGTCTAAGAAGCAGTAGATCTGTTCTGTGTGTGCTATTTCTATGCTTTCTATGCTTCCTGTTCTCAAGTTTTGTTTTTTAAAATTGATAAAGGTTTTTATAATTTCATATAATTGTACATGTAAAAATGATCTTCAGAATCGTGTGATGGAGATGCAGGGTTAACTGCTGTACTGTATGTTTTTATCTGGTCTCAGATGATAGACAGAGATATCTAACTATCAGTGGATGACGTGTGTTTCAGTTCTCATTAGTTTAGTACCACATCCATTGACGCATTTACTGAACAGTTGGTTAGAGGAACAATCTAATTTGGGACACCTATTGCATATGGCTATGCTTTGCATTAGATCATCCTCTATGGTTTTACTTTATATATTTGTTTCGCAGGAAATATTTCCTTTTTCATATCCACATACATTTTTCTATATCAATCAGGGGGTCTATTCAAAAAAGAATGGCTGTGGAACTTGTTTTAGACTTTGCTGGTGGAAAGGGTTAGAAATATACACACCTTCCTAATATGAAGTTGGCTGGATGTCTTTTGGGTGGTGGACCATTCTTGATACACACAGGAAACTGTTGAGTGTAAAAAACCCTCTGAATGGCAAACATACACAATCCATGTCTCAATTGTCTCAAGGCTTAAAAATCCTTCTTTAACCTCTAAAAGGGGGGGTACTAGGCTAACATATGGAATTGTTTAAGATGGATTCAATGGATCATTTAGCTATTACATTTTGAATTTTAGGACCCCTTTTAAGTATATAACAAATATATACATTACCAGTCAAAAGTTTGGACACACCTACTCATTCCAGGGTTTTTCTTTATTTTTACTATTTTCTAAGTTGTAGAATAATAATGAAGACATCACAACTATGAAAAGTAACACATATGGAATCATGTAGTAACCAAAAAAGTGTATTAAAGTATTTTATACTTTAAATAGCCACCCTTTGCCTTGATGACAGCTTTGCACACTCTTGGCATTCTCTCAACCAGCTTCACCTGGAATGCTTTTCCAGCAGTCTTGAAGGAGTTCCCACATATGCTGAGCACTTGTTGGCTGTTTTTCCTTCACTCTGCGGTTCGACTCATCCCAAACCATCTCAATTGAGTTGAGGTCGGGGGATTGTGGACGCCAGATCATCTGGTCAGCACTCCATCACTCTCCTTCTTGGTAAAATAGCCCTTACACAGCCTGGAGGTGTATTGGGTCATTGTCCTGTTGAAAAACAAATGATAGTCCCACTAAGCCCAAACCAGATGGGATGGCGTATCGCTGCAGAATGCTGTGGTAGCCATGCTGGTTAAGTGTGCCTTGAATTCTAAATAAATCACAGACATTGTCACCAGAAAAGCACCCCAACACCATAACACCTCCTTCTCCATGCTTTACGGTGGGAAATACACATGCAGAGATCATCCGTTCACCCACACAAAGCCACAGCGGTTGGAACCAAAAAACTATAATTTGGACTCCAGACCAAAGGACAGATTTCCACCGGTCTAATGTCCATTTCTCGTGTTTCTTGGCCCAAGCAAGTCTCTTCTTCTTATTGGTGTCCTTTAGTAGTGGTTTCTTTGCAGCAATTCGACCATGAAGGCCTGATTCACACAGTCTCCTCTGAACAGTTGATGATGAGATGTGTCTGTTACTTGAACTCTGTGAAGCATTTATTTGGGCTGCAATTTCTGAGGCTGGTAACTCAAGTGAACTTATGCTCTGCAGCAGAGGTAACTCTGGGTGTTCCATTCCTTTGGCGGTCCTCATGAGAGCCAGTTTCATCATAGCGCTTGATGGTTTTTGTGACTGCACTTGAAGAAACGTTCAAAGTTCTTGAAATGTTCCGTATTGACTGACCTTCATGTCTTAAAGTAATGATGGACTGTTGCTTCTCTTTGCTTATTTGAGCTGTTCTTGCCATAATATGGACTTGGTCTTTTACCAAATAGGGCTATCTTCTGTATACCCCCCCTACCTTGTCACAACACAACTGATTGGCTCAAACGCATTAAAAAGTAAATAAATTGCACAAATTAACTTTTAACAAGGCACACCTGTTAATTGAAATGCATTCCAGGTGACTACCTCATGAAGCTGGTTGAGAGAATGCCAACAGTGTGCAAAGATGTCATCAAGGCAAAGGGTGGCTATTTGAAGAATCTCAAATATAAAATATATTTTGATTTGTTTGACACTTTTTTGGTTACTACATGATTCCACATGGGTTATTTCATAGTTTTGATGTCTTCACTATTATTCTACAATGTAAAAATAAAGAAAAACCCTTGAATGAGTAGGTGTGTCCAAACTTTTGACTGGTACTGTATATAAAAATAATATTTGATAAAATATTGAATTTGGCCTTTTACTACTATTGCCCATAGAAACATTGAATAACACATTCCTAAATGGCAAAAAAGATAGTCAAAAAATGAATCATAAGGAATAAGGTTTTGAAGTGTCCATCCTTTAGCTAGGAGATTTTATCCATGTAGTGTATGTGGACACCTGCTTGTCGAACATCTCATTCCAAAATCATGGGCATTCATATGGAGTTGGTCCCCCTTTTGCTGCTATAACAGCCTCCACTCTTCTGAGAAGGCGTTCCACTAGATGGTGGAACATTACTGCAGGGACTTGCTTCCATTCAGCCACAAGGGCATTAGTGAGGTTGGGCACTTCCACACCAATCTCAACAAACCATTTCTGTATGGACCTCATTTTGTGCACGGGGGCATTGTCATGCTGAAACAGGAAAGGACCTTCCCCAAACTGTTGCCACAAAGTTGGAAGCGCAGAATCG